AATATATAAAATATAGTACTAGCTCTATTATTATTTGGCCAATTGTTAGTAGATTTCACTAATATGTCATTAAAAAAATGTACTTTTCTTTAAACCTGAAAGCAGTGTGTTAACTAAAACCAGTCCAACTCCATGTAACAAACTTAATCATAATTGAGTTTTTTTTTAAATTTACTTACGTATTGCCAAATGTATACAGATCAGTGTTCTACAATATAATGTTACAATTAAGTATTTTGAAAGCAGAGTACCAACAGAATGTGTAGACATGTTCACTATGTACCTCTTCACATAACATAATGCATCCAATTCAATAACTAATTTACATAAAACATATCACTAGTTCTTTTGTACATTATGTAAATGTCTGTACTAAATATATCTGTAAAAATATGCACTGCATACAAGACAAAAACCATATTTAACTGGTTCTCAAAGCTACGAATATATCATTTTCTATGTTTAACTAACCAATACTGTTTTGTGACTTAACATTATCAACAACACATTACGACTAAAACATTGTAAATGTTGATCTTATGTTAACATCTAGCGCACCTCTCTTCAAACGCTGTCAATAATGGGCCAACCTGTAAAGATAAATTTGGAATGAGTAAAGTACAGCATAAAAGTAAACAAATAGATTATTTTTGTCATTGTCATGCAAGTAAACAATACACACATTTAAAATAAAGAAAACAGGTTATGACAAGTCTGTTTTTAGTCTTATCAGCATTATATTAAATCCATTAATAAGAATGTTTTTTTTTTTCACAATGACATTTTAGATCACATTTCAGTTAGAGAAAAAAGGTTCATCAAGAAATCTCAAATAAACTGTAGAAACAATGGCTTATCCTTGGATGGATGTATCATAAAGGCATTAGTACTACAATTATAATGAATTAGTCCATCACTTAAGATTGGTATACCTTAAGAGCTAACATGTTCCTATATTAAGGTCAATCAATTCCTTAGGTGAATTTATCATCTTCTTAATTTTTACACACATAATACAGGGATATTTTATAGGTGGCTTGCTTAAGCACAAAGCTATACAATGGACCACCTGTCCTCTGTAGGTATAAAAAAATATTTTAAAACAAGAATTATGTTAATATATGTGAAAGATAAATACCAAATTTCTTGGCAAGCATACTCTCAACTATGTTAAAACTAAAATACTGTAGGTCATATAAATTAATGATGATAATGAATTGGTTTATTCATTAATTTGGAGGGAATAACTGGTATCTACTCTTTTAAACAATCTTACCAGTAAATAGTTCCTTTTAAATATACAAATCATATAAGCATATCCTTCACATTATAACTAAGTCTTTGATCTGGAAAAATCAGAAGTTCAAAAACACTCAGCATTTTATAAAAAAGGAACACCTTAACTTTATTTATTTCATTGAAGTTAAATCCTGATGTAAATTTGTCAACAAATCTCATTAATTGAAGGCACTTCCAGCAAAATTACATGGTTAATGGTAATCTTTTTATTTATCAACTCTGGAACACTTGTGATGATGTTGGCTATAACGTGTGGTTCTTGTCCCGAGCTGGTAGTCCGGTCACTTAAAAAAAATCATGGCCAACTGTTGTCAGTATCTGACAAGAATTCTGTAGTGTGTGTGTGCGTGCGTGCTTGGCTTCTCATGTTTTGTGGGCTGTTGTCAAAACAATCCTAAAAGCTTGATAAAAATAGCTAGTTGTGATCTGCTCAGTAAGATTTAAACCTTAACAGTGGTCTGTAAGAAACAGATCTTGGTGTAATGGTTGATCAGTCTCTTATGCTATCCAAGCAGTGTGCTGTTACTAGTGGTAAGGCAAATAAGATTTTAGGATGTATCTATAGAAATGTACAAGTCTAAATATGTTATAATTTCATTGTATAGGTCACTGGTTAGGCCACATTTGGGGTATCTTTTTCAGTCTTGAGCTCCTTATCTCAGGAAGGACATTGAATTGTTAGAAAGGATTCAGCAAAGTGCTATTAGGATGATACCTGGGATGTTGTCATACGAGAACAGGCTAAGATCTCGGAGATTGGTTTCTCTTTAAAAAAAGAGCTAAAGAGGATCTGATTGAGGTATTTAAGAATGTTAAGAGAATTGATAGTTGCAATTCATCATATTTTTTGTCATACTTAATGGTGAGAATGGTAGGGCTAGGGGACATAAATATAAATTTAGCAGGGCAGGAGTAATCTTTTAGTATTGTTTTTCTGACAGGTTTGTTGATTTATGGAATGTGTTGCCTTGAGATGAGTAGATGCAGTAAACATAAGGGAGTTTAATGGAAGGCTTGATAAATATTTGAATGATAAAGGCTGGCTTTGAGTTGTAGTTTAAGGAATGGGATGGCCTAGCCAGACCTTGTTGTCCTTTAAATCTTATGTTATGCTCTACCATGTTATATATATGCAAAAATGGTCATTTTTTGAAGTTAGGTTCAATTCATTATTCATTCTAGTGAACTGTTGTTATGTATGATATTAGGCATACTTATGATATTTCTTAATTAAATATTTTATTACAAAAAACCTATTCTCAGCTGTAGTCTAAGTCAGACTACTGTAAAGATATAACAATAGTGCTATCAATTTTGTTATAAGCATTTAAGTTTTTATGTTCATTTTTTGAGCAATCATTTCAAATACTAAAAATGAGAAAAAAGATTCAGTCAAGCTGTATCAATAAGATTCAATCAAGCTGTATGAATGTAACTATAATATAAAATAGATAATTTCAGTTTTGGCTAAATCTGAGAAGTTCTACAGTGAAGTAATAAACTGGAAAAGTGGGATTGAATAATGTTTAAAAGATATCAGAACTGAAAGAAAGACCAATTGTAATGGAACACATACACTCATCTGTAGCCTTTTGAAGTTGAAGAATATTATACAAAGATGATTTAAAAATGTTGGCGAAATATTAAAATTACAATATTTGTATCATGCTAATGAAAAATGTCCTCCACAGTGACCACAATGAAAGGTTGAACTAAATTCTAATATTTTCTGTGGACGAGAAGACTTGAACAGTTAACTTGTTATTTTAGGAGAAAATATAATGGAAACATTGGACAAAAGTAAATGAATAATAAAAAATTTTTTTGCAGTTTTAGAAAGAAAAGAAATTTAAACATGTGCTTATCTATAAAACACTAAAATTCTTTTCTTGTGGAGTAAACTTCATGCTGTCGACAATCACAATTCTAATGTTCTTGGCATAATAAAGAGCATACATTGTGAGAACGTACATCAGCTCTCTTCTCTTGCCATAAGCCAGGTTCCTTTTCTTGCAGTTGTGACCATACGATATATTCCTCCCAGGTATGGGGAAGTGGATGGGAATTTATTTTGGAGCTAAGCACCTGTTTGAAATTCATTTTAATTATTAAAATGTAAAATTCAATCACATAGAACTACCTGAAATCCTAAAAGCCAGAATGCTCACATTGAAATGAAGGTGGGAACTGGAAAGTACCATTAGGAACACTGCTTACCAAAAAGTAAGGCTCTTAGGCAGGAAAGTAACAAATCAAAATATAACCAACAAATTAAGTGGTCAATAGCTTGGGTAGAATCCAGAACCAGAGTAAAGGTCAATAGAATGGATTCACGAGAAAACTCAGTGGAGTGAACAAGACTCGAAGAGAATGGGCCAAAGTGAATAGACACAGAAAGGTATTCTTACGTGAACCCAAGAATTAAGAATGGGCTCGAAAACTCTGGAACATTGCATCAATTAATATTAAGAAAAGATAAAATAAAAGGTAATCCTTATTTTGGTTGTAACTATGAGACATCACATCTTGTTTCTGATATCTGTACACGATGTCTCATATTACAAGGAGAGATGATAATTTTTTGTTGTTTTATAATCAAATAATATCTCTACTTCAGACACCCCTGGAGGTGTTAACACGGGAGTTGGGTGGTATAGAAATACCATGGATGCTATACACAACATAGGTATGGGCTCAAGTAGTAGATAAGCAGGTAACAGAGAATAACTCACCTGCTAGGGATTTCAACTGGCTTGAAGGATCACAACCAGAGGCAAACAAGCCCCAGTAATATAATGTAAATAAAATTTAGAGAACATACTTGGATTGATTTGTCCATGTGTGGCCTGCAAGATACCCTTTTGAATCTGAGGATAGTGATTCTCGAACACAGTACCGCAACCAAGAAAAACATTTGTGAAAATATGAAGGTATAAAGGTAATATAGTGCTAACATTCAAAGATTCAGTATTCAACGAACCATACTGTTTTGCTCATTCAACTTTGGTTTAGGTCCATTAATTAAGATTTTCTTTTTTTGCAGTTCTTTTGCTGTTGGCCTTGAACTTAAGATTCTGTCCAAGGCCAGTAGTGAACTAAAACTGCAAGCAGAGAAAAGTCTATTAATTAATAGACTCAAACTGAGGTTGAATGATCATAACGAGTGGTTCATTTATTCTACATGCATGAGGTCAGTCTATTGGACTGAACTTTTATTGCAGAATTAATATTTACCATAAATTCTATAATAGCAAATTAACTTTATGTATCTTTAGCAAATTTGGTAAGCTTTCAGTAAACATTACAAGAATATTGTACAAAAAAAACTATATACATTTTATCTACCCTAACACTATATTAGCTCAATCCATATAATCAACATTGTAACCATCATAAAGAATACAAAATAAATTTTGTTCTTTCTAGAATGGCTGCAAGTTGCAACAGAAAGTTACAATTATTTATCCTAAAGAGCCTTAGGCTTATAAAAGCTTACATTAGTTTTTATTTATTTTTATTGCTTTATTGGCATTTGATCTATCTAACAACCACAAATAACAATAAATCACCCAGAGGGAGTGCAGAGAGTTTAGGGTAAACAAAATTTCAGGTTACATAATGTGATGTCTAACGATATATGTTTTATCTATACAAATAAGTATTAAGTTTTTACATTTAAGTTACTTTTGTTCAAGAATATATCAATAAATCAGAAATTTAGCTGTTACTTCATGATTGAGGCCTTTCACTCTTGAATTCCAGTCTTTATTAATCCTAAACATTTCTACATTGTTTGTATAAAAAAATAGTTCATATGGCTTTAAAATATGCATTTTAAAACACAAACAATAAAACCAAATACTTCAAAATTAATATAATTTACCTGGCCTACTAACTGCCCTATAAAATGGGTTACAATTTTTTATTAATTATTGAGCACCAACTTTGGTCTTCATTCAATAAGATATCCTAGGAAAATGGTGCATGTTACTGAAATAATTAACATAAAGACATCATAATCACATGGTTCACAAAATGACCTTTCCATTGGTTACGAATGCACCATTGACAAACAAGTGTAAGTAACCAAATAATTTGAAGAACATCAGTTGGGTAGAACTTCTGTGGTGGATGTAACAAACTTATAGTTATCTCATAAAGTAAATGTGAGAGGTTATTATTTTAAAATCAGTACAGTTAGTATTTATACTTGGTTTACCTAATGGATGGACATTCTGAAACCCATATAAGGGAAGAAAGAAAATTCAATATAAAAATCAAAGCAAAGGCATCATGTAAAACACACAGAAGTGATGACTGAAAATATATTTTAGTATTTCCTTTTTTAAATTAAGACATCAAAACTTATATAATATTAAAATTTGAATTGTAAACTATGTTTTGATGCAAAATACATACGTGGATAATGAAGTTATTCAATTAAATTTTGAATGCAACTTTATAAAAGTTGTGACATCCATACTTTGATCAACACACATGCACATAGAATTAAAGGTCTGAAGGACAAGAAAGAAAAGAGGATCTTGTTGGAGTAAACTCTTGATCCAATCAAAACTGGAGGAACACAGGAGTGATGGAAGATACAGGTGTGAAACCAGACATATCTAAAAATAAAGGTCCCATTGGAGATGTCACCTGTGAGTGTACACCAAAGGAATGAAAACAAAGTGAAGCCATTGTTCCCAAAGCAAAAAGTATGTCTTTCGCAGTAGGTGCACAAGATCCAAGGATTTCAATGTCACAGGAGATAATTAAATGTTTCTTGAACTGTGTTAATAATAAAAAAAATTGGATGTACCAAATACTCTGCTTATACTAAATTGGGATTGGAGTTTTAGATGGTCCATGCAAGAAATGCAGATGATGTCTCCTAGAAAAGATGATTTAAGTCAGGTCTTTTATATCTTTGTTTCTTCTGAACCACAAAGAGATGGGAGTAGAAACATGAAGAAGTATGATAAATTATCTTGACTTTTTCTTTTTGAAAGATTTCCTAATTTTTACATGTGTCAGCAATTGAATTAAAGGGAAGAGAAAAAACATTAATAAGTCCAGACTGAAGGATCTGTCAAATCCAAGGGTCCACAGAAGAATCAATGGTCCAATACAACTGCCTCAAAAGTCTAGATGGAAAATTTGACTGGAACATTGACTGGGTAAGGAAGACCACACTTGCTTATGTCCACTCAGAAATGAGTAGAAATAGCTGATATCCACTGAGAAGCAGACAAGAGAGGCAAGGCAGGAGGACAAACATTACTTTAAAGTTGTCTCAAAAGAATGACTACCAAAAGTATGCTAAAATGATAAAAGCCTAACTGGCTAATTCAGTCATGCTTCTCTTGAATTAATGACAAAGAATGCATAAGAACGTAACAACCACATCTGTAAAAACAGCAGTGAAGGAAGACTGCAAGGTATACATTTGTTCCTGATTAAAATAATCGATAGAACAAGAGTAGCTGATATCTATTAATTACTCCACAGAAGAAAGCCTCAAAATGAGACAAATTCATAGGGTGAAAAACAGAAAACTGACAATGAGTCAGAGAAGATGACCACAAAGAAGACCCCCCCCTCTCCTAAGATAAATGATCTAATGGTCAAAAACTTTACATGCAAGATAAGTAGAGGAAGATAACCCTTGCTAAAAGACTATTAAAACTGAGTTGATTTTTAATGCACCAGCAATTACCCAAAAATCAAAAGAGGGAAAACATAATGAATCAAAAATTTAATTGTCCAACAAACCATCAGAAATTTCAGACAATAGAATTAGCTTAAGATTTAAAAGAGAGTGTACCTAAGAAAAAAAGAAATCAGACCAACAAAAGCTTCTCAATTAGGGCTAGTTGACAAATCCTGCTGTTAAAAACATAATGATGGTAAATAAGCCTAAACAAGAGATTTTTTTTTAAATCCTCATCTTCATGATAAAAGGGTAGATGTTTAACAATCAAGCATGAAACCCACCAGGGACAACAGCACACAAAAATGTAAATAATGGCCTGAAAACGTTGATCACTGATAAGTATTGACGATATAACCATGGGATCTCCCTGCACACCATAAGGGAATTACATTAATAATGGGAAAGCAGGGTTTATTTAATCCAGTGTATAATGGGAAAGCAGAGTTTATTTAATCCAGTGTATAATGGGAAAGCAGAGTTTATTTAATCCAGTGTATAATGGGAAAGCAGGATTTATTTAATCCAGTGTATAATGGGAAAGAAGGGTTTATTTAATCCAGTGTATAATGGGAAAGCAGGGTTTATTTATTCTAGTGTATAATGGGAAAGCAGGGTTTATTTAATCCAGTGTATAATGAGAAAGCAGGGTTTATTTATTCTAGTGTATAATGAGA